ACAATTTACAGACTTCCTAACCAATTTTTGTTTTTCAATCTTTTTTTTTTCGTTTAACCTTGAACTGGTCCTTTTAGGTGATCTTAATCATCCCTAATTCCAACCTGTTCCTCTCAAAGTGATCCTACTTAAGGCTATTGTGAAGATGTCAGCGATTTGCTTGTTAGTAGCACAAAACTCCACAGTGATCAAGCTTTTCTCATAGTTGTCCCTCAAAAATGGCTCCTAACACTATGTGCTTAGTTCTCTTATGATGAACTGGTTTCTTTGTCATACTAATAGCACTAGTGTTATCACAAAAAATACAGGGATGCAACCAACATCAATTCCAAAGTTCAGTAATGGTTGTTTGATCCACAACAATTGAGCACAACATGAAGCAGCAACAACATACTCAGCTTCAGCAGTAGATAAGGCCATTGAATTTTGCTTTTTGGTAGCCCATGACACAAGACATGAACCAAGGAAGTGTGCCATACCTGAGGTGCTCTTCCAATCCACTAGGAAACCTGCATAATCAGCGTCAGCATATCCCACTAGGTTAAAATTACTACCTTTTGGATACTAAAGGCAAAGGTCAGTGGTGCCTTTCAAGTATCTCAATATTCTCTTGACAACAGTCCAGTGGGACTTCTTTGGATTTGCTTGAAATCGAGCACAAAGACCTCTACTGAAAACAATGCCAGGTCTGTTAGCAGTAAGATACAAAGGAGAACCAATCATTCCCCTATACAACTTCTGATCAACAGATGAACCAGGTTCATCTATATCTAATTTTGTGGATGTTGCAATAGGAGTGTCAATTTCTTTGGATGTTCCTTCCTGGTATTGTTACTGAGTAATATGTTCATGGACTGGTTCCCTCGAGGTTTGAGGATCAGTTCCTCTCTAGTCAGTTCCCCATGTCATGTTGCCATGGGTGGAAGGACCTGTTCCATCACATGTTCCTTCCTGTGATGCTTCTGCAGGCTGGACTATGGTTTCACCATTTGAATTTCTATCAGCCCAATCTCTTCATTATCTTTCTCCTGCTTCTCAGAAGATTGTTAGTTTTAAA